TATATATATATATATATATATATATATATATATATATATATAATTGCATATAGATAGCTAGATGGATACATATTTTATATGTATATGTGTGTAAATTCATAAGAGGTAATTGGTTACTGGTTTGAATATTCTTGCGCTGACTAAGTGTCTGATGTTCACAAGTACTAGATGTACCTGAAAGTGTTGCAGCAAACTACACATGCTGTCACTTTTATGCAACACTTGATTGTTCTTGTAAAGCAGAAGCTAATGTGAATGTGCATACGTTCAGGGGAGTAACGTGATGGAAGATAGGAACCTTCAGGAAATTGGCATCACCGACCCAGGCCACAGAAAGAAAATCCTTCATGCAGCAAAAAGCCTCCCAAAGGTAGCGCGTTTCAGTCCCTAAATAGTATTTGGACACCAAGTGTGAAACCAAGTGGCATTTATTTTTAAAAAGATAGCACACTTTTCAAGCACGCATTTCATCCACTTCCACTTAAAATGACCTTGGGACTGGTTGGTTAAAAGTCATTGCAAATATATCTCAGAAAGTGAAGTTAGTTGTGAAAAAAGGTTTTGTTTGCACTTGGTTTGAAATTTGTCATCTAATGCAATCACATTCTGACATTTAAAGTGTCCAAATGTCTCTCCTGGCTTCTCAGAGTGAATTATATTTCCTATGCAATGCAATTTATTTTGAGACGGCGTTTTTCTCCTCCTTTAGGTGAAAGCTCTGGGGTGTGACGGCAGCACCTCTCTGTCCTCATGGCTGGAAACTCTGGGTCTTGGAGAGTATCTGCACAACTTCCTGTCTAGCGGCTACCGCACCCTGGACTGCGTTAAGAACCTGTGGGAGCTCGAAATTGTTAATGTAAATGTGCTTTTCATGCTGGTGTGTAAGCTTTTGTGTGACCTGATACACTGACAGTTCTTTTTTCTCTATGCAGGTGTTAAAAATTGGCCTTCTTGGTCACAGAAAAAGAATCATAGCCTCAATAGCAGAGCGACCATATGAGGAAGCACCTTCAAAATCCAACCGCTTTTCCCAACTCAAGGTAATAGACACAATTTAGCATCATTAAGACCCAAAATGGATTTAAAATGTCAATACATGATATCCAGATATAACAATAAATATGTTTTACCTTGCTAATGTGTATCAGATTCAGGACCTGTTGTCTCAAAATACGTCACCGCTCAGTTATATGGACCCGTACACCAGTCGCTCCATGGATATGTTGCTTCCGTTGGGAGAATCAGGCAGAAAGAGCCGAGCGTTGGATCAGGATGGCAGTATCTCCCTTCGCTCCTTCGGTGAAAGATCACGCTCACATGTAAGCACCTCTGTGACTAAGATCACTGTGATTATAATGACTCCTTCAAGTAATGAATCACATTGGAGTCATTCTGTGAGAAATGTTGCAAACATTGTAGTTCTACATTACATAATAAATAAAAATGCATCGTTTTTATTAATATTTTTTATCATTTTTTTTAGATTGTCCATTTTAATTTTAATTTTAGATAAAGTTTTAGTAATTTTGTTGTGTGTTTTTGTTATTTTTAGTAGTTTTTGGGGCTTTTTTATGTTTTTCCATTTTAGTTTTAGTTGTTTTAGTACATCAAGATAAACTATATTAAAATGAGAAATATTGCCTTGGCAACTAGCTTAAATGAAATGGGTTTTTTTATATTTTATATTATTTCAGTTTACGTTTATTTTATTTAAATTAAAAAACACAATTTTTTATGGTTTTAATTTAATAACCCTGATTCTTAACAAACACTGATGCAATTGTAATTCTTAGAAATTAAGGTAATAAAAAAATGTAATATTAAAGTAATTATTAAAAAATAATAGTGAATTTTTGTGTAGTGAATAGTGAAAAAAAAATTTGTACTTGGGAGCATGGACATTTTAAATGTGACTTTTTTGGACCTAAATAACAGAAAACAAAAAGTATTGTTTTCTTATTATTTAATATATTTTTATTGTTAAATTTTTTACAAAAAATCAGTAAAAACTGTTTTTCTTTGAAGAAGCCTATTTCTGTTAAATTAAATGAAGATTTCAGTTCAGATCTAGTTTTAATACTAAAAGTGATTTTTTTCATGAAACATATTTAGTAATATTTACTGGTTATGTTTCCACATGCTCTCTAACAAATGAGTTAAAATGGTTATGAGGTCTTTGTGAAGAATTCATTCTTGTACATGTTTGAATGCTGATGTCTGTTACCACGGGGCACAGTAACACGTCTGAACACCACAGAACATGAATAATTCATACCGCTTTTAAATAAGGCAATTTTTCAATAATTTAAACTCATTATGCTTTTAAATTTATGGAGGAACAATAGTAAAATGCTGCAAAATACCATTAAATATAACTCCACTTTGAATATAAATATACAGTGTATCCTTTTTTCTTTTTTTTCTTTGATGTGACTTTGACTCAGATTGCACTTGTTGTTTTCCATTAGGACCGTCATGCAGATCGACATTTGCGTCTAAGTATTCGCCCTTCCAGCCACTCTGCCACATATACCACAGTCTCCACCTGGCACCATCACCCTGAGAAACTTATCACCGAGTCCTGCGTTTATGAGGCCAGAGTAAGTCTTTTCTATGAGGATTTGTCAGTTTATACACTTCGCAATAGATTTATAGACATATGCCATTTTTTTCTGATAGGAATGGATTCCAAGCTTTTAACAAAGGGTTGGTATGATAGTAACTTTCTTCAGTTGCTCTCATACACCCAAAACCTATCAGAGTAAAATATTATTTTCATGTTTGTGTTTTTATCAAAAAAGCTGAAATCTGATTTAACAAAATAAAGATACAGTATTTAAAAAGGAATAGTTCACCCATAAATCATAATTTGCTGAAAATTTACACACACTCTGACCATCTAAGGTGTAGATGGGTTTGTTTCTTCATGGGAACAGATTTTGAGAATTTAGCATTCCATCAGTTGCTCACCAGTGGATCCTCTGCAGTGAATGGGTGCCGTCAGAATGAGAGTCCAAACAGCTGATAAAAGCATCACAAGTAATCCACACCACTCCAGTCCATCAATTAATGTCTTGTGAAGTAAAAAGCTGCATGTTTGTAATCAACAAATCCATCATTAAGGTGTTTTAACTTCAAACAGTCTCTTCTGGCCATAGTCCATAATAACACTTCATCCAGTAAAACGTCCATCCCCTGTTGTCCTCTCAAATCAAAATTCACACACACATTTGTTTAGAGCTGTTTTGGCTTGTAAACAGTGCTTGATCTGTGCAGATTTCTCTCCTGATTCAGATGAGATGACTTTTTCACTGGAGAATGCAATATTATGGATAGAGGACTCTAATTTTAGCCGCAAACAACAGTTTAAGGTTAAACAGTCTTAATGATGGATTTTCTTACAAACACACAGCTATTTTGCTTTTTAAGGCATTGATTGATGTACTGGAGTGGTATGGATTACTTGTGGATTATTGTGATGTTTTTATCAGCTGTGTGGACTCTCATTCTGACGGCACCCATTCACTGCAGAGGATCCGTTGGTCAGCGAGTGATGTAATTCTAAATTTCTCCAAATCTGTTTCCATTAAGAAACAAACTCATCTACATCTTGGATGGTCTGTTTCAGCAAAATTGAATTTGCCAGAGGATAGTAGAGAGAGGTCAGGAAATGATGGTGGATCAGGAAATGACTCGAGCTGGCTTCAGACTCACAGTGCCTGTGTGAGCACCACAGTGTGTGCACGAACCAGTACGGCTCAGGTCATCAAGATCAAAACCAGAGTAAGACTGAGTCTAGATTTAAATAATAAAAGATCCATTAATGAGCACCACATTAAAAATTAAAGTGCTCTTTTCAACGTCATTGTTATTTTGGGATGAAACTGAGAGAGGACGTATTATGTAGCATAATAGCGATAGATATATTAATAATGATAGATTTATAGATTAATAATATTACAAAATATTTCTGTTTCAATTCAATGCTGTTCTTTTGAACTTTCTATTCATTTTGTTTTCCACAAAAATATAAAGCAGGACAACTGTTTACAACATTGATAATAATCAGAAATGTTTCTTGAGCAGCAAATCCACGTATTAGAATGATTTCTCTGTGACACTGAAGACTGGAGTAATGATGATGAAAATTCAGCTTTGCATAAATTACATTTGACAATTTTTTTCAAATAGAAACATGTTATTTTAAATTGTAATAATATTTCATAAAATTTCAATTGATTAAAAAACATATGCTAGGTGAATAAATGTACATTTCTGACTAAATATATTTCAATCATGACAACTCTCTGCAAATCTCTGTATTAGAATGATTTCTCTGTGACACTGAAGACTGGAGTAATGATGATGAAAATTCAGCTTTGCATAAATTACATTTGACAATTTTTTTCAAATAGAAACATGTTATTTTAAATTGTAATAATATTTCATAAAATTTCAATTGATTAAAAAACATATGCTAGGTGAATAAATGTACATTTCTGACTAAATATATTTCAATCATGACAACTCTCTGTAGCCATATAAATGCAAGGCAGTAAGCTCATTGGCTGCATATGCAGCATGAACCAATCAGCTTGTGCCAAGTCGTTTAACTCTCTGAATAACATCAGTTATGTTAACAACCCATCAGAATGCACCATCTAGAGTTTCATGACTGAACTATATATTTTTCCATTCTTCCTTTTCCAGTATTTAGGGTCTGTGATAATCCGAGACCTACGAGGAATTGAATCTACACAGGAGGCCTGCGCTAGAATAAGGGTACATATACAGATATATTAGTCAATATGCTATTATATAATGTCTTACATTTTTGTTATGTTTTGTGCACAGTTTTGTGAGTCTGCTTTGGTCCATTCATCATTTTTTAAATAAATTCTTGCCTTCTAATGTTTACCAGAAATCAAAGGATCACCGGAAAGGTCCCGTCATAATACTGAATATCACCTACAAAGGAGTCAAGTTTGTTGACGCAGCCACCAAGGTAAGAGCAACTGCCAATACATACTGTAACTACAGTTAACATGGGTTCACCATGTTAAACTAGGAGAGTTAAACTGTTTCTCATTATTAGTGGTGTCTGCTAAGCCATCACTATCAGAGTTAGAGATTTGTATGACAGTGACCCATCCTGCACTATTTGTGGCACAGACATGAATGATAGATTATGGTTATAAATGGTTACATAGCCCTATGGTTATGCATTAGTGAAGTGCTCATGTTTTTTGCGGATGTTTGAAAATTGTGATGGACTCGCTCAGTATTTTTGTACTTTTGCAGGCGATGGTTGCAGAGCATGAGATCCAGAACATCTCTTGCGCAGCCCAGGATCCGGATGACCTTTGCACATTTGCATACATCACAAAAGATCTGAAGTCTGGTTATCACTTCTGCCATGTCTTCACTACAGTAGAAGTGGTGGGTGTTATTTTTATCTAGGGTTGCAAATGGGTGTGGAAAATTTCTGGAAACTTTCCATGGGAACTTAATCTGGGGAATTTTGGAAATATTCCAAGTGGGAATTAATTTAAAATTTGGAGAAATTTAAATAAGCTGTATCATATACAAACATAAATATAAACAATATGGTCATAAGCTGACATGCATGCAAACTAATACAATTAAAAAAAAAAAGACATTTCTGACTTTGATTTAATTGTAAGTAGAACTTTAATAAATTATATTATTGAGCAACACAAAAGCATGTGTGCGTTGATGAATAAAAACTTAAAAAAAGATCAGCATTTATTCAAAATAGAAATCTTTTCTAACTATATATGTCTATACTATCACTTGTTATCAATTTAACACATCCTTGCTGATTAAAGTATTAATTTCTACTGACTAAAATTTATACTAAAAAAACTACTGACCTCAACTTTTGAACGATAGTGTATTGTTAAAAAAGATGTCTGTTTTAAATAAATGCTGTTCTTTTTAAATGTTTTATCCATCAAAGAATCCTGAAAAAGTATCACAGTTTATATATAAAAAAAAAATGTAAGCAGCACAACTCTTTCCAAAATTGATAATAAATCAGCATATTAGAATGATTTCTAAAGGATCATGTGATACTGAAGACTGGAGTGATGATGCTGAAAATTCTGCTCTGCATCACAGAAATACATATATTAAATAAATATAATATATTAAAACAGAAAACCATTATTTTAAATTGTAATAATATTTCACAATATTAATGTTTTGTATTTTGGGTCAAATTAATGCAGGCTTGATTAGCATAAGAGACTTCTTTCAAAAAACTTTAAAAATATGAATGTGTCCAGTACTGTACTTCTGTATGATAACAGAAATCTGGCTAGCAGAAGGTAGAAGAAAGAGCATCACAGCTTGAGCTAGCTAGCACATGATACCTAGCCCTTATAAATTGTTATTGAAATAGTGCTAACTAGCTTATATTTAGCATATCTGATTTACTGGCTAGCTAGCTACTGTATAAACCCATTTTGGTATTTGCTAGTGAAACTTTAATACCATAGATCAAATATATTTACCCACCATGTAATATCAAAACTCACTTGAATGGATGCAGTCCTTGGGCTAAGTAGTGTGCTGTTTGCATGTGACTGAGGAATGTGCAGAATAGAAATTTTGAAAACTGAATTTACATAAAGTCTTGTTGTTTAACTGAGATTACGCTGCAACGTTTACATTTAAGTTCCCTGTTATAGGCTAACCTGCAATTGTGCAAATTCCCAGTTTATTCCCATTAATTCCCGTTAATTCCAATGGAATGTTTCCAGTTTTAAAAATTCCCGGAATTTTTGCAACCTTATTTTTATCTGCTCTTTTATAGGGGAACCAATCAGGGTTAAAAGAGAATAGGTTTATTAAAGTCAATATGAAAACAAGATTAACCCTGTTTACTTTCATATTGAGTCTAGTTATTGAGCTGATAATACAGTCTAAGTATTATCAATACTTATATTATAAGTATTATTAAAGGGTGTTTTTCACCAAAATGTAATTTAATTTTCATTGATTATTTAATTAAATGTATTTTTTTGTCTTATATGAATTGTATTATAGATAAACGTTTACATTTAAGTTCCCTGTTATAGGCTAACCTGCAATTGTGCAAATTCCCAGTTTATTCCCATTAATTCCCGTTAATTCCAATGGAATGTTTCCAGTTTTAAAAATTCCCGGAATTTTTGCAACCTTATTTTTATCTGCTCTTTTATAGGGGAACCAATCAGGGTTAAAAGAGAATAGGTTTATTAAAGTCAATATGAAAACAAGATGAACCCTGTTTACTTTCATATTGAGTCTAGTTATTGAGCTGATAATACAGTCTAAGTATTATCAATACTTATATTATAAGTATTATTAAAGGGTGTTTTTCACCAAAATGTAATTTAATTTTCATTGATTATTTAATTAAATGTATTTTTGTATTATAGATAGATAGATAGATAGATAGATAGATAGATAGATAGATAGATGTTTTATTAATATTTCTCACTTGCAAGCTGCTAAAATAAAAAATATAAATATGAATGGTTAATTCAAATTGTTTCTGAAGTATTGATTTGAATCTACACAGGATATAAATTTTATTTAATATTTAACTAAATGTTTTTCTGAAATACTGAATTGAATCTACACAGGATATTAATTTAATATGTAATTTAATAATTTCTTTTGTTATTAATTCATTTTTTTTCGGACACTGAATTGAATCTACGTAGGATTTTAATTTTCATAAATATAACAATTTAATTAAAAAATTTTCCCCCATTACTCTTACCGTTAAAATTAAACAGCATACTGCTTTATGTAAATGAGCTCTGTTGTGATTGGCTGTCCTCTTCACATGTGAAAATGAGTAACACTTACAGGTTGCGGTTTGACTGTCAGGTCCAGTATAGTTTTCTCTGCCACTTTTTATGGCCTTACCGAGAGTGAAATCCCATATTGTGTAATTGTTTAATGACTCAGCTAATGGCTGTTCCCCATACAGACACAGACCTATGAGATCATCCTTACGCTGGGACAGGCGTTTGAGGTGGCGTATCAGATGGCTCTCCAGGCACAGAAGGCCCGTCATCACAGTTCATATGCTGGTCCAGCCTCCGAAAACATAGAACCCAAGACCAACAGGCCCACCTCGCAGTCCCGCAATAGCACGCGCCGCTCCACTGTGAGTATGACTTCAGCACATGTTATCTGATATCATAGTATCATGAATATATTGTGTTCACATATTTTTGTTTGCCTCAGAAAACAGTATTTACAGTATTGCACTTACAATGGATGTCTACAGGCTTTAAATGCAGAAATATGTAAAAAAACAAAAAAAAACAAATGCAGCTTACTGGTGGTACATTAAAGGCTTGTTAGTCTCATGTAACTAATGTTAAAGTCTTTTTTTTTTCTTTAGAAACCTTGTGTATTTTCTATATTTTCAAGTTTATTGCAATATATCTTCCTCCATTTTGAGTGCATCACTGTAAACATGATTCTTGCTTGATTATACAAACTGTGGGATGAGTCAAAATTATTCTCTGTGTTAATCGACAGCTTGTCACAGATGCTGTCCTTAAAACTTGAAACCTAAACTAAAATATTTAAAAAATAGATATAGGAAAGAAATTGACAGAATCGATAGACTTCAGTCAGAGTAAATGTCATATTTAATGGCTGTGAAGTGTAGAGGTACAACTGATTCGCAGTTTCTTAAAGGGATAGTTCACCCAAAAATGAAAATTAGCCCACTATTTACTCACCCTCAAGCCATCCTAGGCGTATATGACTTCCTTCTTTCAGATGAATCCAATCGGAGTTATATAAAAAATTGTCTTTGATCTTCCAAGCTGTTTAATGGCAGTCAGCGGGTGTTGCAGTTCATCAGTCCAAAAGAAGTGAAATAAAGCGCATCCATCCATAATAAAAAAGTGCCTCACACGGCTCCGGGGGGTGAACAAAGGCCTCCTGTAGCGAATCGATGCGTTTTTGTAAGAAAAATATCCATATTCAAAACGTAATAATCACTTTAATCTAGCTTGCGCCAACAGTTGTACACGGAAGCAGCTCCAGGAGGATGACGTATGAGGTCGGCGTTGAGCATGTGTTGGTGAGTCTCGTGAAAACCAACGTTTGTTTACAGGATCAAAGGAAGAAAAGTTTCCTTACTTTAGCAAAGGAAAACCAGTCTCCTCTTGGCTTATATCGAAATCCTCTGACATTCTTCTTTACAAATCCTCGTTTTGTACTTCTAATTCGTGACCGTTGTATTGTTTTGATCTCTCCCCTGCGCTTCCGCGTTCGTCACTTCTGAACGGCGCATGTGCAACGCCGACGTCCTACGTCATCCGCCTGGAGCTGCTTCCGTGTACAACAGTGAGCGCAAGCTAGATTAAATTGATTATTATGTTTTAGATAGGTTTATTTTTCTTACAAAAACGCAACGATTCGCTACAGGAGGACTTTGTTCACCCCCCGAAGCCGTGTGAGACACTTTTTTTATGGATGAGCGCTTTTTATTTAACTTCTTTTGGACTGATGCATGCAACACCCGCTGAGTGGCATTAAACAGCTTGAAAGATCAAAGACCTACTTCATCCTCCCGGAGCTGCTTCCGTATACAACAGTGAGCGCAAGCTAGATTAAATTCATTATTACGGTTTAAATATGGTTATTTTTCTTACAAAAACGCATCGATTCGCTACAGGAGGCCTTTGTTCACCCCCCGGAGCCGTGTGAGGCACTTTTTTATTATGGATGGATGCTCTTTATTTCACTTCTTTTGGACTGATGAACTGCAACACCCGCTGACTGCCATTAAACAGCTTGGAAGATCAAAGTCAATTTTTAATTTAACTTCGACTGGATTCATCTTAAAGAAGAAAGTCATATACACGTAGGATGCCTTGAGGGTGAGTAATTCATGGGCTAATTTTTCATTTTTGGGTGAACTAACCCTTTAAGGTTTTTTCTAAATCTCTTAAGGTCCATGGTTGCAGATTGTTTTCACAAGCATTATTTTCTGGAGTTTATATGTTCTCAGTTACACAGCTTCCTTTGCAGCTTCATTTGTATTTATGTCAGTTTAAATGTGACTTCTACTCTAAAAAACGTCTATATTACATTTGGGTATTTTGAGTCATTTTTGACACAATAAAATCACAGCACACGCTTCATTGTTATTTGTGTCCGGTTCAATGTGGGATTGATTTTGAGTAGCTAAATTTTAGTGTTAATCCTTGGGTCATTTCTATTCTGCAGTACCTTCTGAACTTTAAGGCTTCTATAAAAGGATATAGCAGATGTTCAAAGATATGTTTTGGTCCAGCACAGGCTTTCTTAAATATGATTAGATTATTTGCAGAATTGCAAGACAATAAACATGAAGGAAATTACGAGCTAGAGTTATCCGTTGTTGATCAAGGGACTGATAGTTAGCTTATATTACAGTGTCAACAAGAGGGAAAGATTCATTTTGTTCAATTTTAAGTTAATTTTGAGATTAAAAAGTTCTGATTTTGAAATGTTGATATTCTATACTAATTTCTGTAATGTTATCAAACTGGATTGAATGTTTTAGAGTGAGACACAGCAAATATAAAAAAAATCACCAAAAGCTAATTTTATTCCCAAGAAAACATATTGATTAAAAAAGGGAAAAGAAATGAAGAATGTTTTTGTTTTTATGTTATAAGTGCAGGATGAAAAACATCAGCTAAAACCAAGGTAATGAAACCATTTAAAATTCACCATATTCAATTGTGATAAAAGATCACGTGATTTCCATCTTTAAAATTTGTAATTTTATTTAGACATATATGATGGCGTGGTAAAAATGTACTGCGTTATAGAAATGACCCACATGGAACAGGTGTCACCTCCAGTCCCGTTATATTTTTCATGTCTTATATTACTTTATTTTGTTGAGGTAAGCCTGTAATCTGCGTCTCTGTGCTTCTGCCCGGTCCTCCTTCCCAGGGTGCACCTGTGCTTGAATGCCGCTGCTGTTACTGTCACACGTGCTCCGCCCACCGCCCCTCCTACCTCCCGCTGCCTTCTATCAGCCCTGGAGTTCAGGTTCTGCTCTCTCTTTCTCTCTCTCTCTTCCTCACATTCTCCAGCACTCTTCTTCCTGCTACATCTCTGGCTTTCTCTTCCCTGCCACTTATTCACTTTACTAATTTTCCTGTTACGTTTCCAGTTTTCACTGTTATCCACCTATTTTATCCCCCCCTCATGTACATTTTTGGTTGACACTAGCAACAGGTCACAACTTTAAAATGTGGTACAAGTACAATCGTTTAAATTCAAGATTTAAAGGTTGCAATCATGTACAAAATTCAAGGATGAAGATATTTTGTGTCATTGGCAAATTCTTGCTTTGGCCTGAGGATGTTCTCAATATGTCAGCAGAGTACGGTTTGTTTAAGCAAATCTCACCTGTCAAGAACATACCTGTCCAGGTGATATTTCACTCGAGAGTCAAAAGGAAATAAGATATTATATTTTGCATGAAGAAAATGATTATTAAATTATTGTATTCAATTGTTTTGCATTGTGTCACTTTGATGACAATTAAGAGTTGAAAAAATGGCAAAATATTAGGCCTATTACAACGTGTGTGTGTGTGTGTGTGTGTATATATATATATATATATATACACACACAAATAGATAAAATATATATGCGTGTACGCACATACAATCACACACACACACACACACACACACACAGACACACACATATAATGATAGATACAGGGCAATATATTATTTAAATTACATTTTTTATTTGTTTTTAAATTAAATTAAAATTAAACATCCATATGTATTATTATGGTAATTTTGTGCATAATTGTCTTGGAAAAAATGTCACAGTGCAAAACTCTAATGGTTCTAAACATAGGCTCATTTTTAATGTATGCAAAATTTACATTCTGAAGGGATTTTGGAGTGAAATGTGACCCAGACATGTTTTCAGGAGATTTATTCAGTTATAGATGTACTTCACAGATCACTACACAATTTTTCAATTGGGTTTACCATGCCTGGAGCAGTGTCTTTAAAATTATTAGAGAGTAAAGTGGAACGAAAGGTTTGTGTCACCTAACAATGTCATTGAGAGGACTTTTCAAAAACAAAGTATTGCGTTTTAAGCAATACTTAAAATGTTGCGTCAGCAACACTGGAGACAGCTATCTTACATTTACACTTTTTATTATCAAACTCAAGATCGTCACTTTTTTGGAAACAACTTGAAATGACAGTATCAGGCGACCTTCTTAAAAGACACTACATTAGCGATTTCAAGATGAAGATTGTGTGCAAATTGAATTTAAGAATCCATTTGCAAGAACGTTTGTCTGTTTACTAGCAGCTAGAATGAGCATCTGTTTGTGTATAAACGCTCAAACCAGCATCAGGTCCTGATATCAGTGTTGTTGTCTATATCTACGGTGAATTCTCCTACATGGTGTTCATCCTCAACGGCCATCTCCTCACTTTTGTGAAATGTGGGTTTCCGTTGGCTGCCATTCTCTCCTGCAGTCTCACTCCTCGCTCCTACTTCTCCGGCAGATCGACCCTCTGGAGCCGGAAATGGACCTGCAGTCCCTGGGCAGCACCAGTTGGCTCTTCGATCCGCGGGAATCCTCCAGGCCTTCGAGTAGCACCAAGTATGAGACCACCATATTTTGAAGCAGGGCACGGCCCTTGTCCAATCCCGCCTGCTGCCCCATTTCAACCCCACGCCCCATAAACTCGAGTGCCCTGTGCCTTCTCACTGTGATTTGTAGCCTTCCTCAGGGCAAGACTACTTCCCACTCCACTCCAGTCCCGACCCCGGCCCTTGCCTGCATTGCCCTCTCGGAGAGCCGTACGCCTCCACCTTCCTTTTTTGTCGTCTTGACCGATGAGCGCTTTCTGGAATCCTTGGATTTGCCGTATAACCAGCCTCCTCAAACTCTTCCGTCATGGTCCGAAATTGCCTCTTGAAAGCTTCCCTATTTTATACATTACGCTGAATGTTTACGGTTCGGTCCCTCGTATCAGAGGGTTCTCTATGACAAAACCTCCAAACTTGACACTTGTAGCATTTCTACATCTCCTCATCCGGACGGACATGTTGGCGGAACTTTATTAGAAATTAGTAGATCCACGAGCTCTCTGACTGCAACAGCAATACTAGAACTGTTTTTCAAGTTTACGTACATTCACGATCATGAATGCAACATAACGCAGTTTCCCATCGGCGCTCCTCGAACCCCGTAGCACTAGATCGCTTTTTTCCCCCCATAGTTGGACCCCTGTTTCCCCACCTGCAGTTCTTTAGTTTTTCAAGAGTTGGGTCTGTAATCTCGATTCACATCCAGTGCTTCCTTTTGTCTTACCAGGCATCTGCAGCTCTGAGGCCCTCGGAAGAAAGACTATGCCTGTTTAGAGTGTTTAGAGTTTGGGATTTGAAATGCAATACAGTTTTACTGGGAAGAGTAGAATATAGCCCCATGAAAGTGGAATAACCAAGACAACATTCCTATTCTGTTTTCTTGTTGGAATTTAATTGACTTTTTATCTAATAAGGGAATCCATTTTGTTTCGTAAAGTTCTATATTTGTAACTTTACATTGTTAACATCTCATAATAAGTGTGTGTATAACCTATGTTCATTTTGTGATTGATGATTTGTTCTGTAAAATTAGTTCCCTCTGAGATTTCCACTACAAAGTCATTTGCAGAAAAATGAGACAGAATATTTTCGTAGACATAATAATAGTAAATGTTACTTTTTTGAATTGCAAAAGAATTCCCACGGTGACAATTATCTTTAGAGAGAAGATAATGAAGCCAAGAAAAGAAAAAGCACTAAGGCTAGAGAGAAAAAAAAATCTCCAAACAGCCTTATTGTGACATGTACTGAACGTTTGGAAAACCACTGTAAGTTTGCACCACTTTGTTTATTCACGCAAAAAAAAAAAAAGTGATTTTAGTGTATTAGATGCTAGAAATCTGCTATTTTACATTCTTGGTGGTTTATGTTTTGTCTTGTTTCATGTGCCATGTTCACACTGCAGTTAAATATGATCCCCCCCCCCACTCACAGTTCCTTTACTTAAAGAAGTAACAACCGCATTTTGAAACCAAATTAATGCACGGAACATCTAAGAGTATAGTGAAAATGAAAATTCTATCATCATTTTCTCACCCTTAAAGGCACAATATGTAAGATTTTTTTTAATTAAAATATCCAAAAACCACTAGAACAGTGTTATATATTTTGCTGACTTACATTATCCCAAATGTTTCGAAGAATGTTTAAATCCAGAGAAATAAGTAATTTTAACTAGTGACACGGACCGTGTCTATAGTGTCATAGTGTCGCCTGCCAATGATGTCATAACCCCTCGATTTCCGGTTTTGTTTTGTAGAAAACATGGAAACACCAAAGACGCTTTAATATGCTATGCATTTTATTAGACAGGTGACGACCGCACAGAGTAGCATTATAACAGAACTTTCAAACGTATCTAATATGATAAAACAGCGCTGCTTTACCCCACATACGCACAACCGGAAGGAGCGGAAGCGGTCGACTGTGGCATAATAAAAGCTCCGCTGCTTTCGAGCCGCGTGTCACGCTCATTCAGCAGCCTCATTTCGACGGCTTTCAGCCTCACCCTGCTTCATTCTACTACGTTAATAAATCATTAGCTCATCCATGAACATGATTTCTGCCTGAGTCCCGTCGGATTGCATCGGCTGTGGGGATGAAGACCACAACTCCCATGATTCCACACTCAGTCACGGCGTCATCAAACTACGCCTTTGTCTATTTGTTTATTTTGAATACACGCCCTCTAGCGGCGAAAATTACATATTGTGCCTTTAAGTTGTTCCAAACCTGTATGATTTTCTTTCTTCTGTCAGACATAAAAGAAGATATTATGAAGAATGTTGGGAACCAGACAAGTTGCCAGAAGCCAGCGACTTCCATAGTATGAAAAAATATGATGTAAGTCAATGGCTACCGTCAACTGTTGGTTACCAGTGGTTTGGTTACCAATATTCTTGAAAATATGTATTATGATCAACAGAAAAAAAGAAACTCATACAAAATGATGACACTATTAATTTTTGGGTGAACTGTCCCTTTAAGTAGTGACAGCCGCATTTTATTAAATCTGCGTAGCGTGTAAGCACCATAGACTGTATAAAAACAGGTAAGCACACGCAAACAAACCGTAGTTAACGCAGTGACGTCATTCTCGCGGACAATGACAGCTTCTATGAGGTCCTAGAAAATAGAAGAAACTGAGGTGTGTCTTGATTTGTTCGAAAATTTCGATAGTTTCTCGTACCAAACCTGAAAATTGTCAGATATAAATAAGCCTCTGGTCGCTAATATTTCTTATGTCAACAATAATGGCGTCAATGTTTGTGGTTTATAACCGTTGTCGCTATAGTGAAACTTTCGCAACGATCTCTAAATAACTGTCAGCCATTTTGGGTTTACGAAAGACTCACATACAGAATGATAATTCAGGTGATTAATTTCTCATTTATGTGCTGTTGTGTTTCCAAAACATTGCAGTGTGAACGTGGCTGTTTTTTGTTTTGTGGAAAGGACTGTTCGCTTTAGTTTGATTCTGGCTGTTGCTCACTTTTGAACTGCACTGTTTGTCTCTCATGTCCGGTTTTATGGAGTAATCGGTTAAAGTTGTGGTAATTTCTTTGTGACTGTGTTGCACATCCTCAACTTCCAGACATCACAATCATCCTCACTCATTAACAAACAGCCTTTGCCATTGTTTTGTCTCATTTCCTAACTCAAAATTGCCAAAGAGGCTAACTCAAGATCCATTTCACTCATGCCATCACATCCTGTAATGTGAGCTTTGTGTATTTTTGACACTTTTTTTTTAAATGCTGTCACATTTTTAATATTTCAGATTTAATTAGCAGTCCTGTCTGGGCTCTGACAACTTGAATTCCAATATATTTTTCCTTGTGTAGCTGACTCCACCTTTCAAGTTTCCGGACACCAAGGTGTGAATTGAAGGGGACTCAGGTGAAACTTTATGTGTGAGTCCAAATGAGGAAGAAATTGAGTGAGTATGAAAGAGAGAAAGAGAAATACAAAATTAGCACTTAACTGCCGTACCAAACGGACTGTCCAAAGTTGCTCCTACTGCAAAAATAAACTTGAATATGGACATTACTCAGCCGATAAACTGATTTGCTGGTGATGTGGAAACGGACGTAAGAACAAATCAAATATTAAAATATGAATCAGCATGATATTCAATTTGACTGAATCTCACAAAGCAATGTCATATTTCACCCCAAAATCAAAAGAAGAATTTTTGCATAAAGCCAATGAAGCCTGTTTTCAGGACTATTAAGATGACATTATTATCTAGACACATTTTTGCACAATAATTAGTATTAAAATCAGCGTAAATTAAATGCAGTACAACTAAGATGTACACTTAAAATTGTACTCTACAAATGTACTCCATTATCATTTTCTCACTATGGTAATAAGAATTTTGATGTGTAAAAATAGGTTTTATTTGCTTCGCATTTAGTTTTGGGGTGAATGGTGAACATTTCTCGAGTTTTTCATGAGATTCACTCATTTATGTCTTTAAAAAGCAAGCAGAACTTTGAGTAATCTCTGGAAAACTGGACTTCTCTTTCCTGAGCACTGTGTGAACATTGTACATTTTAGTGTTCAATGTTTCCTGTTAAACTGTGGTTTATTTTCATAAGGAGAAGGACTTTGTGAGCGACATTAGCAGATTATACCTAAAAAATAATGCAAAACAATAGTTTTGATCTTTTTGGACTCTGTGTACATTGTAGAACTGCTTGTTGAAGATTTGTGGCATTTAAAACAAAATGGGTTCAATTGTGGACCTGAGATGGTAACGTTGTGGTAGAGATGAAGTACTTACATGTAAATCAGCAAAGATATTTTTACCTGTATGTGAAGAATCCAGCTAAATTGAAATCAAATCAGTGGTTGATGCAATGATCTTACTGTGAAATAGCAAAGATGTAGCATATTTAGGCTATTGATTTGCCATATGAAAACAAAGAGCTGAATTAAATGTCACTTTATGGCCACCTATCACAAAGCCTAGCTGTCTAGCATCACAGCGAGCGTTTTATTTTTTATAGTTAGCAGGTTCTTTGACTTAATGGAAAAGAAAATGGGCACATATGCTGTAGTGGAACAGAATGATTTACAGAAAATGTGAAAAAAGGCGTAAAAATGCAAACCCCTCAGGCAACACTTGTCCCTCGCTTCCTTTTTGAGTTCACTTGAATTTCTTTTGAACTTCACATAATTTGAGCAAATATTGACAAACAATTTAACACCAATTATGTTAGTATCCTCTTTTTTTCCGGGTTGGGAAGAGTATGAGGATGTCAGAAGCATACCAGGATCAGGGCAGAATGCTTGCACTTGACAACACAAGATAAAATACCACTGTTGGCCTATGTAGAAGGTAAAGTAACTACGATTAAAAGATGTCTAATAAATGTACTTTTTGTCCTGAATGTTCATACTATTGTGTATGTTCATTCCATTTACTTAAGGAACAATCATTATACTATCTCAATGCCATTGAACTAATAAATTCAATAGACTTTTTGCTCTGTGTTTTTGCCTTTGAATTGTATTTGTTTTTATTTTATTTTAGCATATTCTATGAATTACACCAGCTGCTGGCTTTGTTACTTGCTTTGATTATATTACTTGGAGTAGGGCTGGGCGATTTGGCAAAAAAATTAAATCTACATTTTTTTCATAACGTTTGACTGATTCTCGATTTTTTATGATTTTTAACTAGTCAACTTAATTTTACTACAACATGATTCAAATAGCTTTTTCTTTATTAACCCTCTAGTTAAATAAAATTATATTCTAAGTGCAGCACACATGAAGTTGTCAACATGATGTAACTGTTAAACAGATCACTTATCAAATATCTTTGCAGAAAAGATGCATGAACTGCAGTTACATCCTGTACAAACTTGTCTTCTAGCCTACATGTTATATGTTCAGAAATAATAGGCTATAATGAAAATGCTTCAAAAAATTCTCAACAATGTAATTCAAATTCAAAATGACTGCTTTTATACATAGAATCCGAAAATTGTACATTTTTAAACTGCACACTTGTAAATATATCTGTACATTCATTTAAACAGTTCCATTTCTCTATATTTCTACTTCTGTATATAATGCATTATTTTATTTTCAGTTTTTCTTATATTAGTGTTATACGCCATCTCTACTGTGTAATTCCTATGTCTGCTGCACTAGTTTGCACTACGTCCATACTTTCTTCTGCACTGGAAGCTCCTGTCACGAAGTCAAATTCCTTGTGTGTGTAAGCATACTTGGTAATAAAGCCCTTTCTGACTTTCTGACTTCTGAAGGTATAACACCAGTAGACTATTAACAATGAATGTTCTGTGAAAACAACGAACAGCAGCTTTCAGCCTGTCACATACAGTAGTAGTTCTTTACAGGTTTTTTTATTCGATTGCGCTGCTTTTCCATTGTTTTTTCTATGTAAACATGGACGCGTTTGCACTAGCATCTCTTGCAGCATCTCACGCATGAAATGGCATTATAAAATCGCAGCGCTCAAATTAAAAGAAGTTCACTCACATCTTCTTGCATGTTTTTTCTATTCCACTCTCCATGTTGCATCTTTGTCAACACAAAACAAAAGTGCATTCTGATATGAGCGTGTCACACATGCGCCGACATGCGGTTGGATAGTTCTTTTCTCTTTACTGTTATCATTGGCATATTGTCAAAGTGTCTAATTGTAACATT